GAGTAGGGAGGAGCTTGGATTTAGACCGGGTTCAGTCCAAGCCTGAGCTCATCCATAGTCACTAGTGACCTGTAGAAAACAGGGGTTGGCATCCAGAAGTGTCAGGTTCTAAAGCAAATATTGCATAGGATTTCTATTCTTTTTTACATTTTTATTGTTTACTTAATTTTTTTTGAGTAATCTTCAGTCCAGTCATGTGACATCCCAAAATCCTCTGCCTCTTCTTGCTGTGGCAAAGTATATAGACGTGCAGAAGAGGGTTATATTAGCCAGGTAGCCAAACTGACATGTTGCTAACCATTTCCTTTTTTCTTGAGTTCCTTTCTCTTGATGTTCTTGCATGTAGAGCTTCACTATCTCCTTTGAAGCTATTGATGGCACATGTCCTGTGTACTCATTCCCGTCTGTATTAGATTATTAACTAGTGTTGTATTTGTATTATGCCAACATCCAGCTGTGATTACAATAAGGAATGTACCACGTTACCTGGCTATTCACTAACAGATCTCTAAACCGCGTGGATGGGGAATCTCCCGCTGCAGCTATTGTATCCCGACAGCCAGTGCCCGCTGCTGTCAGAATACATCAACAGTGACTTCAGCCGCTTCAATGCAATCACTGTTCAGCCAAAAATTATTGTCGTACGGCGGCCCCATTATGCCCCGATTATCGCAAGGTTCAATTAGCCGTAATGAAAGAAAAGCACCTGGACGAATTGCGGTAATCAACCGCACGTATTTTCGTTTGCGCATGAGCAGCGTAGATCGTACGATTTTTGACATACGGAAACGCCACTAACCTTGCAATAATCGAACGATCGACCAAAGTTTAAAACATGCTTGAAAGTCAAAAGTCGTACGATTGTACAGTATTTGCGGTTGTACACTGCGAATACACCTTGCGATTATCGGGCGAAGACGCGATCGCATACGATTTATCGTACGATAATCGTAAGGTGTATGGGCACCTGAGGTTTTAGTTAGTCACTGTCTTCATATTAGGCTGTGTTGTCTCTATGATGGGCTCTGCGCACAGAATGGCCTTCTTTTGTGCCAGCGACTGGTTGTCTTAGGCCAGGGATAGGCAACCTTGGCTCTCCAGCTGTGCTGAAACTACAAATCCCATAAGGCATTGCAAGCCACAGGCAGGACTCCCAGAGGCAAAAGCATGATGGGATTTGTAGTTTCAGCACAGCTGGAGAGCCAAGGTTGCCTACCCCTGTTTTAGGCAGTGTAATGATGATCACATGTATACCGTGTGCTTGTTGATTAAAGTCAAATTCCAGTTCTGTCCATAAGAAAATTATCCATGGTATATTTTAAGGTTTTAGCTACATTTTAGCATATTTTTACCTTTTTCTGCTCTGAAGGTCTTTGCTGCAAATTTTACGTGCATATTTTTCTGTAAAACTGATTAAGTGGATGGTCTGCCTTCATTATAACCACCTGATCAGTTTCAGTGTTTAAAATTATACAAGTTGCAGCCTTTGCATATCTGTAGTCTGCAGAACCCATGTCTCACCAACAATAAGGGCCCATTCACACCACATCCAGATCTTCTCCAGACCAAATTGTTTCCGGACCCAAAATGCATCCCTATGTATCCCTATGCTATTTCTATTTCACACAAGCGCAGTCCGTTCCAGACCAGACCAGAAAAATACTGCAGGTCTCATTTTGTCTGGTCTGGAATGCACTGGAACTGCGGGCAGGTTCACGCCATTTTCCGGACCAGATCTGGTCTGGGAAATGGTGTGAACCTGCCCTAAAACTTACTGCAGGGAATAACGTTTAAACTTGACTTAATTTGAGCAGAGAGTAAGATACCAAGTGCCTGGAGTGTTCTGCATTTTAAGTAGTGTACCAACCGGCCCCAGTGTTGCCTCCATTCCTTTTTTGGGTGGCCTAGCAGATTAAAATAGAGAAGGTCATTGTGATTAACATTACATTAGATGATGGCTTGTGTAGATGGAATGTATTGTATATGATGGAACTAGAGCTTTCCTTTTTATATCTGTTTTTTTTTATTTTTTTTAAACAGATTTGATTGAAAATGCTTACACCGCCTGTCTTATTAAGCGGGACTTTAAAGTCACAGAAGTGAACGAACATAACCTGCAGAGGAACCACATCACCGTGTCGAAAAAACGGAATTGGTTGACGCAGAGCACTCACAGATACGAGTATAAAGCCATCTGTCAATCCTCCATTTCTCATCCCATTGGGAATAAAGATCCAGGGCTCCTTTTGTCCAGAACAGACGGAGATGTTCCCGTTAAAGCACCGGAGAGCGAAATCCTCCCCGCCACTCCTGCTAGCCCTGTAGCTTTGCCCACCACTGACCTCAGCGAAGAGAACGATGCCGACGATGAAGGAGAAATTTGGTACAACCCCATCCCTGAAGATGACGATGCTTATATCTGCCCCAGTTCAGCATCCTCTAAGATGGTCTCTGACCCGGGGCAGGAGGTGCTCGTGGCACCGGGGAAAGCTGGAGGGGTTCTAAACACAGGGGACCCGTCACACATGCTCCCTTCTACTGAGAGTAATGCCGGAGATTCCTCACATTCCACAGACCATGGCGTGCAGCTGTGCAAGCAGAGGGTCGTGTGCAAGACTGCCGAAGACACCACTGTCTATCGGTCCCATGAGCACGGTAAGCAGGTTTTGTTTTCCACTAATCACATTTATGTGGTTGGATGGTGAGCTTTTTTCCACAAATGTACAAACCATGTCGGTAATAGAAATTGAGCATAGGACCTCAGTTACATGTAGATTTCTTGTGCCCCAGGACCCCCAGAGCATGAGTAGATACCCAGCCTTCGTGTTTTGTGGCACTTCCTTAGTTTGCCACACAAAAAAGTCTGTTAATTTGTACCTAACATCAGTCGCATCAATAGACTGCTAAGGGCTAGTTCACACCACAAACAGTGCGTTCCAGCTCGATTTAGTGCTGACGCACTGGATCGCATCCTTGCCGGCTCCCTGCGTTCAGGGGCTGTAAAGGGCGTGGCGGTGCATTGAAGTCAATGGCACCGCAGCCGTGCCCCAAGCCGCAGTGCAATCGCCTCCACCAGAACGCGTGGCACATCAGTGCCTGCTGTCCGGTCTGGTGCAGTCAAAAGATGTGCATGTAGCATTTTTTTCTGACTGCACCTGTCCGGAACGCGTTCGGGTGCAGGCTATCGCACTGCGGCCAGGGGGCGTGGCTGCGGTGCCATTGGCTTCAATGCACTGCCACCCCCCTGAACGCAGGGAGCCGGCCGGGATGCTATCCGGTGCATTCTAGGACCAAATCGGGCTGGAACGCACTGTTTGTGGTGTGAACTAGCCCTAAAGGAAACCTTCCCTGTGAAAAACATGGAGGCTGCCATTGTTGACTCATTCTGCAAATGCTAGTTACCTGGCTGTCATACTAAACCTCTGACTTCAACATTATAAATCCCTAATTCAGAACAAGGATACGACACACCAATGCCCATTCGATGCATTACCGTAAGTCGTGGTATGGATCCAGCCTTAAGTAATAGACATCTTCTGGACAATGAATGAGGTTTAAAAAAAAAAGTTCTCACTGACCTCTGTAGATGTAGACCCTCTGGATCAACTGATCCTTAAAGTTCACAGCAGAGACATTGTGGTCAATTTGGTAGTCGGTTTCTCAACAGCTTACAACACCTCCTTAAAATTAGGGAGGCTTTTACAGGTCAATAACATTCATAAAATACGTTTAATGCAAATGTAATCTTATGGGAAGATTTCTACTGAGATATTTGGTTAGGCGTCGCGGTCTCTAAGACTGGAATTTGCGTGTGGCCTGCTACTACAGTCGAGTATTGTACGTGATACCAATAGTTAATTTTTCAGGAAGAGCTTTCTAGAGACACCACTTCTTTCGATGCAGGGAGTCCTGATGCAGGGAGTCCTGATGCAGGGAGTCCTGATGCAGGGAGTCCTGATGCAGGGAGTCCTGATGCACGGAGTCCTGATGCACGGAGTCCTGATGCACGGAGTCCTAGCAAAATGCAAAGACAAATTCTACAATTAAGATAATAATCTGTGAAAGTTAGGTCAGGGTGTAAAAACAGAGCAATAAAAGTGAGCCAGATAAGGAGTGAAGAAGAAGGGAGTCCAGTCATACAATTATCTGATAGTGATGGAAAACCAAGACGCAGCTCCACTCCGGAATGTAAACAATGGGGCAGGGCAAGTCCAGTGATGTCACCGGACTTACCCCGCCCCTTTCATTACATTCCATGACAGCTCCCGGTCCACTAAGGGAATGGAAACAAGGATGATGTCATGGGACTTGCTCTGTCCCTTTGTTCAGATATGTTTTGAATTTTTTTTTGTCATTTGGAAATTCGAATGTCCGAATTTAAAGAAATTCCCCAACATGTCTTATCGATTTCTATATTCTGAACGAGCAGTAAATGAAAGATAAAACAAGCCCTCACTGACTAATGCCAGATCTTCACACCCAACCTTGTGGCTAGACTTTGGCAGCTGTGGTAGAGGGACTCTTAGTTCTCAATGGAGTAAAGTGCAGTGACGTCACTGCACTTGTAGTCCATTGATACTTCCTCCCTTCCCGTACCTCAAAGTCAGTACCCAGGTATAGACAGGGGCTGGGAGGAAAAGTCTCTGCAGGAGCCAGAGCATTACACTTGTGATCCACTGATCGCGGCTGCAGTACTTTGCATCAAATGCAAAATATCAATAACTGCAGATTTTTTCCTAATGTGTGTGTTTTACATATTACTTTATTTTGTGAAAGCTGGACTGTGCCTTTAAGGAAATGTATGGAAGCTGCCATTGCCATTGAAAATGCAGGTTACTGGGCTGTTTACTCTGTATCACTGTATTTTAATGTTTTGGGATTTATTAAGTTACTGACCCAGTTAGCTGATTCTGACTAAAAAGAGAACTATGGGCAAAACATTTTGGGCATTTGTTCTCCTTTTGTCGTCTCCTGTGAACCAAACTCAAGGATATAGTGAGCTATTGCCTGCTATATGCTGACAGCTCAGAGCCGTGCTGTGGCCGGGAAACCTCCAACAATATTGTGGGGATCCACCCCGGTGCCTGATTGACAACTGGCTCTGGCTCTCTAGAGCCAGAGAGAGGTGTGCCCGCCCCTCCCTGTCTGTACAATGAGTGCTAGAGGAATGGAGAGTGGAGGGGGAACCCTGCAGGGAGCAGTGATTGACAGTCACTGCTAGGTTTGCACCGATACCGATACTAGTATCGGTATCGGTGCCGATACCAAGTATTTGGGTGAGTACTCGTACTCGCCCAAATGCTCCGATACCTAGCACGAGTACTTCCTGTATCAAGAAGCCGGGTAGCGCATCATTACACGCTGCCCGGTTTCCTGATTGGCCAGGGAACGGCTCCATGCTCTCTCGTCACTTGTGATGAGAGAGCATGGAGCCGACTTCCTGGCCAATCAGGACTCGGTCTTAAAAAAGTGGTATCGGTGCATCCCTAGTCACTGCTCTCTGCAGGGAGTAGATTGGAAACTCCGAGATCAGCGGTATGTGATCGATCAGTTCTCGATCAATAGACCTGACCTGTGACAGCTTCAGTGTTGCGCGCCAGTTTTTTTTCACTCTCCCCATAGTTCTCCTTTAACTCTTACTCCCCTGCAGGGTTGTTCCAGGCCAGTGATTTAGAACTATTGATGCCAATGGATCAGCATGACAGCCAGGCAAGCAATTTTATGGCCATGTTATTGCTGCTTTTCTTGGTCATAGCTTGCCAGAATAGGACAAGCCATCCCGAGAATTGCTTTAGAGCACAAACTGGATGAGATGAGTTGCAGTTTGTGATGACTAGTAGATGTATTCAGATGAATGTCCTAGTTGTCACAGAGCCGGATCCATCTTGTTTGGTTAAAAAATAACTTTTATTGTACAGTAGTAGTTAAAAAATCTTGTGATTGTTGGGGCTTGGCTGCTGTCTTCATGGAAAATACTACCCAAGAGCACGGAGCATCTGGACTAGCTACATTAAATGCTTTTTTTTTAAGCTTTCAGAGGTATATTGGAGTGGTAAGTCCCGGGGGTTCAGATTTATTTTAGGGTTTTGACTAATCTTTCAGATTTTTTTTTTCCCCCCGTCATTTCAAAACCTGCTGAAATATTATATTCCCTGTGAGGCCGCACAGCGTTATGTTTACTTGTTACAAGGTCGTTCGAGGTTCTGCTCTGTCTGGGCTACATCTTGTTTTATGGGCTTGACACTCGGGAGAATGCAGCTGAATAAACCTTTTTATATACTGTTACAATGTTTCTTATAGTTTACTTGCCAGCTCTGTAATTTACCCTTTGTCCCCATTCACACCTTTTGCATTCTGTAAACATGCGCAAACCGTGAGCTTTGACTCAATGCGTGAAACACACAATGCGCGTGCAGTGCCATTACTTGTTGATGGCACCCCAAACGTGCCCGAAAAAACGTACACATTGACACGCACAAACACATGGTGACAAAACAGAATCTGCTGCATGAGCTACTTTCTCGTGTTTCCTGTGCATGCGGCACCCTTTGAAATCAATGGATGACTCGCAGCAATCGTGGGGAAAAAACTAGCGCAAGCGCGATGCGTGTTCACGGAACATGAAAGTGGGAACAGGGACTTAAAGCTCACCAGTCAGTCAAAAATGTCACCAGTCAGCATGACCGGACTATAGCCTTGCATATTATGTTAACATTTTTTAGGGAGAGAAGAGCTTTCTTTTGGAGGTATTTAATCACCACGGGGTGTTTTTGTTTTACTATATAATTAAAAAAGTACCAAAAATTTAGAAAAAAAAAATGTTTTCCCTCTGGTATGTTACAAAAACCATTATTCTTACCCATATTTTTGGTAAAATATAAAAGACAGGCCACATCGGGTAAATAGACACCAAACATGTCAAGCCTTAAAATTGCGCACGCCCGCAAAATCGCAAAAAATTACCACACTGAAAATTGTCCATAGGCGACACTTTTTAAATGCTTTTACTGCTCATCAGTTTAGTGTTATCTTTGATTAATGGCCCTAAAATTATTGCTCTCACTCAGACGTTCGCGGTGATATGTAACATGTGCAGCACAATAGACGAAATCGTTGTTTTCGCATGTAGGCGCCCCCGATGCATGTTTGCATGTGTATATGGGGCGGGGGAATACATTTTTTTTTTTTTTAACACTTAACTTTATTGCTATCACATAGGGGGGCTAAGAGCTCCCTATGTGATAGCCAATTTACATGACAGGTCCTCTATATGGAGACATCAGGGGTCTTCAAGACCCCTAATGTCACCTAGGGACCCCCATAGAAGCTGATGAAGCGGAGATCTGCTTCACCAGCGTCTCCCCAGCTTCCGAAGCTGGAGAGTGACAGCTGAATGCGGAAGTGATGTAATATCACTTCCTGCATTTGGGGAGAGGAGATCAGAGGGAGATCGTGTGCTGAACTCCCTTTTAATCTCCTATCACAGAGCAGCCATGCCGGTCCTTGCCGCACCGGGGCATAGCGGATCTCGGGACCGGCAACGGCAGTGACCGCGGCGGCTGCAGGGGGGAAGGGGAATCGCAGCTAATGCAAGCAATCGGGCGTCTCTAGAGATGCCCGCTCGCTTGAATGTAAAGCTCCCGGCCGGCCGGGAA